GTTGGAGGATCCCATGAGTCCAGGAGTTCAAGTCCACCCTGCGCAACATACCAAGACTCTGCCTGTCTCTAAAAGACAAATGATAAATAAATAAATAAATAAAGGGACCAATTTTAGGATCTATAGTAGAGATTTATTCCAAAAGTTTAGTTCTCAGGATTGGAAACAAAGGGCCTAGGCTGAAACCTAAAGAGTCTTTATGTTACCACAGTCATCCTCACTTGATAGGAAGGCCAGATGGATCTTCAATCATGTGATGCTGACATATTACTGCTACTGCTTCATGTATACAATCCCTTGGAATTCTAAATGATCGTTCTGCAAACACTCAGCATCTCCAATGTATCCAAAAAAGGAGACAAATAAATTACATGATTATGGAAAATCTCCCAGTTCCCTTGATTTCCCAACTGGATTAAGTTCTTAGAGGCCCCAGTGTTGGAAAGATCACCATGCTCCCTCTGTTATGCCAACAAGTAAAAATGGCTCCAAACTATCAAATACTTGTAGAGAGTCCAGCAAACAATTTATCTTTTCTGTGATGACTGCTTCTGTTATTTTTTTATAATACAAAATATCAAATGTTTTAAAAAGAGATTTTTGTGTGTGTACGTCTCCTTTGCTGATCAGAACGTGCCAAGTCGTCCACTTGGCCGACCCAATCTCATATTTTCATTACAAAAGGCTACTTGCTAAGGAAAGTTGGCTCAGTGCCAGGATTTCAGTCCCTTGGGAGTAAGCTTATCAGTTAATAAACTCGTTTCATTGGGCATTTGCTTTATGCCCAGTACTGTGTTAAGTAAAACAGGGAACTCCAAGACTTAAAGTATGCAGGTGGTCATTTCATTCAAAGAACTTCTAATGTGGTAGAGAAAGGTGAGTTCCATGAAAAAGGACACAACAGTCAAACGTCAGTTGGGCTATGTGGGTCTGGATGAGTATCTGGGGATACTTTGGACAGAAGGCAAATTTGCGTTGGCTTTTTAAAATTTGTATTTTAGTTTATTTTATATTTGAGTATATACTCAAAGTTCCAAGAACTCCACATGGTTCAAAATTCCAAGATCTTCCTTCTTTTATTTCCTTCAACTCCAACTTCTGTCCTCAAAGGCAATCAATGTTACTGCTTTCTTGTATATTTTTTAGAAGTATTTTATGCCTATGTAAATAAATGTGAATACCTATAACCTACCCCTTTACAGTTACAAAAGGTATTCTCTGTCTTTAAACATAGGAAAGAAATTAGTGGCCTCTCTGAGACTTATTTTATAAAGACACTAATCCCATTAATGAAGGCAAAGACCCTATTTTCAAATACCATTGCCCTAGGGGTTAGGATTTCAACTTATGAACGTTGGAGGGATATAGGCATTCAGTCCATTGTAATTACTCAGTTGGGGAATTTTTTCTTTTAATTGCTTTGTTGAGTCAGATATTTACTCGTGAAACTACATTGTTTATGTTTTGCTTAAGTAGGGGATGAGAAAGTGCTTGTGTGTGTGTGTGTGTGTTTACAGTGCGTGCATGTGTGCACACTGGGGTGGGGCATGTGGAGAGGTGGCTAGTAAGTGACGGGATTGTCTCGATTCAAAGCCATTGCTGTTTACCTTATACCAGTGATTCTTAAACTTTTTGGTCTCAGGATCCATTTTTGCTCTTAAAATATATTGAGTGACAACAAACAAACAAAACCCTTTGTTTAAATAGGTATGTTGGCTGGGTGCAGTGGCTCATACCCGTAGGCCCAGCACTTAGGGAGGCCAAGGCAAATGGATCACTTGAGCTCAGGAGTTCAAGACCAGCCTGGGCAACATGGTGAGACCCCATCTCTATAAAAAATCAAAAATATTAGCTGGGCATGGTGGTGTGTGCCTGTAGTCCTAGCCACTTGGGAGGCTGAGGTGGGAGGATTGCTTGAGTCCAAGAGGTGGAGGCTGCAGTGATCATGCCACTGCACATCAGCCTGGGTGACAAAGTGGGACCCTGTCTCAAAAAAGAAAGGTATGTCTATCAATATCTACTACATTAGAAATTAAAACAAATTTTAAAAATATCAACTCATAGTAAACCCATTATATATTGACATAAGTAACATTTTAAATAAAGAATAACTACTTAAAAATTAGTGAGAAAAGTGGCATTGCTTTCCATTTTTGCTAATCTCTGTAATGTCTAGCTTATAAAATAGGTGACTCCTGTTATCTACTTCTTCATCCAATCTTTTGTGACACTGTTACCAAAACACCAGGAATTCAGTCTAAGTCCTGCTGCTCACCACACAGAAACCCAATCACTGCACCATTATTATTGAAAGAAGACTTTAATTGGGTCCTGTAGCAGAGATGGGAGCTCAGTCTCAAATCCATCTCCCTAATCCACTAAAACCAAGGGTTTATACAGCAGGGAAGAAATGTAACTACATGCAGGAGAACAGGAATTAGGGAGAGTTAAGGAAGAGGAGTTGGTCAGCAGGAAGCAGGTGGTTGGTTAGGTAAGCATTGTTTAGATGCAGTGATCTCGTAAGTTTCAGTTCCTTGCTATTATCTGCCAGGCCCAATGGTTGGTTTCCTGAGAAAGGAACGCAGATAAGACAAATGTAACTTTCTCAATTTTTAAGGCTGGGAAGAGGATCAATTTCTGTCATTCAAAGAAACCATAAACATCAGTTCTATGGGACAATTGGAGTGGTTGCAACATCACATGTCATGTAGCCTCTGGAAAACTCCACCATAAAGTTATGATTGAATCAGAATAAATAAGGCAAGTAACATCTTAGTATTGTTATGAAAATTGTTTTCCATTCCAGGACCTCAGTGAAAGTGTTTTTGCCTGCCAGCCTTTCTTCTCTGAGAGATACATTTATCCTCTGTCTTGTAGGACTACACTGAAACACATTCAGCTGAAAATCTACCCTGTTTTAAATAAGTACCATTGAAAGACAGTCAACAACTTTCCCAGATAGTTTATAAAATATTTACCAGGTGAAGTAGCTAAAGCCTCAGAAATGTTAAGCTGAAAAAAATGGATATGTGCCAAAGATTACAAGGATCATTGTATGTTTAATTAATATTTGTTTCCCAAGCCTTAAAGAATGTATCAATACTAGATTAAAAAAATCTTTATTAAGACACAAACTACTCAGAAAATCAACTCACGAAATAAAACACTTAGAATTGCTTTAGCAATAAATGAAACAGTCCGCTGACCACATTTTTTCTTGAATAGCAACACAGTTTCCACTGTTTTATGGACAAAAACAGTCATTAAAGGCCTTTTCAGGGCAGACCAGGGTCTTCTCTCATGCTCAAAACCACAGGATTAATTTAATGTAACTAAGTAGCAGAAACTCATGATTGTGTGTAAATGATACTGCTTCCAGCCAGAATTTGGGAGTTGGTGGTGACAGCACTGCCAGAAAAGTCTAGCTTCATTTAATATACAAATTACATAAATCCTGGTTAAGAAACAAAAAAGTCAGTAGGTTTTGATTGTGCATTGGTTCTTGAGGCTAACTGCATATTTTCCCAGTGAGGAAAAAAATAAAATATATTAAAAGCCAGTGCAAAATTTCTCCTTTCTCACACTCCACGAGTTATTTTGTATTCCTTCTGTTTCCTTTCAATCATGATTAATTTCATCCCATTAATTTAGTGCAGAAGATATATGTGACTAATATGTACAGAACTAGAATTAGCCTTTTCTTCGCTCAATAATTAACCCTGAAACAAAGGTTAAGTGCTATAATGAAGAAAAGAAAAGAAAAAGCTTAAACAGTTTTCTTTGGGGAGAAATGTCTTCATTTGGGCTTGAAGAGTTGTTTATTTGGGGACAGGGAAGAATGAAACAGAAGGAGGAAAAGCCAGTCCAGGAAATGTGTTAGAAAGGGGGTCACTCCTAATGGGCAGTGGTGGTTCACGTTCTCTGGGGGCCCCATGAAGAAATGTGTAAAAAGCCCTCACAATTGTCAGCCAAAAGTACAGAAGAGGGGAGCATGTATCTGCTGCACAGCCCCCAAGTTTCCCATTGGTCAAGGTCTGGCCTAGGGATGCTAACTGCCTGGCACTTCCGGGCCTGCACTCAAGAGTCAAACGTCTGGGCAGCTCCCTTGAGCTTCCCTCCAGGTGGCAGCAGAGTGGCTCAGGAAGGGAGGAGCCGCCCTGGGTTCAGCTGAGCCTGCTGTTGGGTTACACCTGAGCAAAGCTGGTTGTTTCAGCTGGTCACCTCATCCCATATGCCGCAGAGCAAAAGGTGGGCTTTGAGAATGTCAGAAGGGACACAAAAGACAGCTCACATGCAGTAGAATTCTAATATTAATCCAAATGCTGGACTTCTGGAAGAGGTAGAATTTCTGGAATCCCTGGTAGCATTATTGTAATGGAATGTAGGTTCAGATGCTCCCTGCTTGCAGTCCAGTGAACAACAGTAAGGTCTGGCAGGCCAGTTGCAGTGGCTCACGCCTGTAATCCCAGTGCTCTGGGAGGCCAAGGTGAGCAGAATATTTGAGCTCAGGAGTTCAAGACCAGCTTGGGCAACATAGCGAAATCCCATCTCTACAAAAAATTCAAAAATTAGGCAGGGTGCAGTGGCTCCCACCTGTAATCCCAGCACTTTGTCAGGCTGAAGCAGGCAAATCATGAGGACAAGAGTTCGAGACCAGCCTGGCCAACATAGTGAAGCTGTCTCTACTAAAAGTACAAAAAATTAGCCAGGCATGGTAGTGGGCACCTGTAATCCAAGCTTCTCAGGAGGCTGAGGTGGGAGAAATTCTTGAATCCAGGAGACAGAGGTTGCAGTGAGCCAAGATCACACCACTGCACTCCAGCCTGGGCGACATGTGAGACTCCATATCAAAAACAAAACAAAACAAAACAAAAACAAAAAACCAAAAACAACAACAACAAATTAGCTGGTGTGGTGGCACATCAGCAGTCTCAGCTACATACACTCCAGCCTGGGTGACAGAGGGAGACCTTGTCTCAAAAAGAAAAAAAAGGGGGGTAAGGTCTGGCATAAAGAAAGTGATTTTTACTAACCAAGATTAGTCCAGGGGAAGTGGCTGGATTCCTATCCAAAACAACCACTTCAATTTTGTGGTGTGGGGCGGGGAGGCAGGGGTTTAAAACAGGACAACTTGATAAGGAAGGCATGCAACAATGGTGCTGAGTAGTGTGTCTGTGTGTCTGGTTCTGGTGGCTGTCTTGGGTCCCAGTCCAACTGGATCTCGGGCTGGCCTCATCTCAACAATGGCTGTGTTGTTGACTAGCCACCTTGAAGTCATCTCTGGAACTTTATACCTGGGTCTCCAGTGCCTTGGTCTGTCTGTCTGTCTCAAGATGAGCCCCTGGAATTTCCCAGAAAGAACACAATTAGATACTGGCACACAGTCAGATAAATGTGAACGGTGTATATATGGTGAGAAAGGGAGGGAAGTGGAATCTATTCTAAGGCTAAGGGGAAAAGGCTTCTGCAGTTTGATTCAAGGTTATATACTAAAATCCAAGAGAAAGGAAAAAAAGTTTTAAAATGCATTTTGAATTTAAGCTGCCTGGTTACATTATGACCTGGGGAAAGCCTGAAGTCAGAAGTGAGATGACCTGACGAAGACAAAGGGAAGGCCGCTGCTGGGTGAGTGCTCTGCTCTCAGCATCTCTCCCCTGCTGCTTTGTGGCATCCTCCTCCCAGCTGTTGATGGCAGATGCTCTCGCTCCACGATCTGTGTTGCGCTCTTGTTCCTCCCTGATCTTCTCCCAGGCTCAGGAGGGCCATCCAGCTTCCAAAACCCAATTCCCACCACCCTTAAGCTGGCTCACCTCCCACAGCCCCATAGACCCTGACTCTGTAACTGGCTGTGTGAAGCTTTCTCACTTCTGAAATTCTTGGATCGCCTGACCCTGTATTTAAATGGATCCTGTGTTTAAAAATACATAGCCATGAATTTAAGTAATATTTAAGAGATTAACACCTTGTTTCCTCAGCTGGGGAGTTAGTTCCTTGAGGACAAGGGCCTTGAGTTCTATTTCTTTGCACCTATTAATACCTGGTAAAGGCATTACAGGTCACAGATGTTCATAAGTGTGTGACTGATGCTGAGACAGGCCCATTCTGCAAAGCTCCAGGAACAACTCTATTTTAAGGCAAATGAGGGACAGCCACAGCAAACCATGGTTCACATGTAACAAAGAGAGATCCAAGATGGCTGATCACTAGCAGCTCAGGGTTGTAGCTCCCACTGAAAGCGCAGAGAACGAGAGGACGCCACACTTTCAGATCAATTTTTGTTGCTCATGCACCAGGAGATTCGCAGCGGAGGAGCCCCAGGGGTCGCCAGCGCGACTCTTGTGGTGAGGCGGTTTTGCCGCTGCCTTGGTGCGGCGGTTCTCGTGCAGAGTCAGAAAAGCACCATCAATCTTAACGCCACTGTTTTGGCCGGCGCAGGGGGTTGCTCAGATTTTAGCGCCGGGAATCAACAAGTTGGACATCCATTCAGAAACCCAACTATAAAGACGGTAATTATAAAGACCACAGATGGATAAATCTATAAAGAAGGGAAGAAACCAGCCTAAAAAGGCTGAGAATACCCAAACTCAGAATGCCTGTCCCTCTACAGGGGAATCACAGTTCCTCATCAGCAACGGAACAAGGCCTGATGGAGAAAGACTGTGTTCCATTAGCAGAAGCAGGCTTTAAAAAGTGGATAAGAAACTTCTGGGAATTAAAAGAACTTGTTCTAACCCAATGCAAAGAAACTAAGAACTTTGAAAAAAGGTTTGACGCAATGTTAAAAATAACACACAATTTAGAGAGGAATATAAGTGAATTAATGGAGCTGAAAAATACAACACGAGAACTTCGCAAAGTATGCGCAAGTTTTAACAGCCGAATTGATCAAGCAGAAGAAAAGATATCAGAGGTCAAAGACCAGCTTAATGAAATAAAACGTGAAGACAAGATTAGAGAAAAAAAGGATAAAAAAGAAAGAGCAAAGTCTCCAAGAAATATGGGACTATGTGAAAAGACCTAATCTACGTTTGATAGGTGTACCTGAGTGTGACGAAGAGAATCAATCCAAGCTGGAAAATA